GGGGGGGGGGGGGGGGGGGGGGGGGGGGGGGGGGGGGGGGGGGGGGGGGGGGGAGGAGATTAAGGAGAGTGAGAGACGCGTGCATAGACGACCGCCTTCACCTTGCAATGGGTCCGGATCATCTAACAAACATCAACCTCCTTCCATTTTTTTTCTGTTTGCATGTATCACTTCCACACCCTCTACCCCTCCCACCCCTTGGCCCGGTCCCCACCCGCATCTACGACAACTAAAACCGTAAAAAACAAACCCACGCGCGCGCGCGCAGGGAGAGCATTCCGAGGCGTTTTTCCTCCCCTACCTGTGGGAGGTGCTTCTCTCGCGCACTCCAGACCTCAATTGGAGTCCCGCCAGGGTACGCATGTTCTCTTCTCCGTCGTCCTCCTCCAAGACCTCGACGACAGCGGAGACCCAAGCGGCGAACGATTCCTCACCGCCGGCGAACGATCCCTCACCGCCGGCCGCCGAAGCTTCGGCGGCAGGGGGGGCCGTGAGAGGGAGCCCCCCCGCAGCGGGGGGGGCAACTGGGGGGCGCGCACCGCAGCAGGGCGCTGATGCCTCAGGCGGGGGGGCTTGGGCAGGCGCATCGTCTCCTGCTGATCAAGGCAAAGAGTCGTCGCTCTTGCCGCCGGCCGCGCCGAAGCTGACGACACCTCCGACTTCGGCCGTGGTAGGGGGGTGGTGGGGGTGGGGCAGAGGCGGGGGGGGGCGGGTAAGGGCATCCGCGGAGGAGGGGGAGACGCAGGGGGAGCGGAGAGCGTTACACTCGAATGTGTGAGTTTTTTTTGGTGCACCCGCGGCACGAACATGCTGCTGCTGCTTCTGCTGCTGCAGAAAAGTCTTGTGGTAAATTGTTGTAGTTGTTGCTGCGGTGAGTTCCAGCTCGGTCTGAAGGAGGGAGTGCAATGTATGGCGTTGAGTATCCTGTGCCTCGCGGGTAGGTGGGGAGGATGCGGGTGCTTACGTGTTGGTGGTGGGGGGGGGGGGGGAAAGGGTTATAGCTTGTGCTATTGTTGATTTTTTTCCCGTAATTGGTTTCGTTTCGCTTTGGCGTCGATTCCACGTTGATTACTATTTGTTGAGAGAAATGAACGTCAGAAGAGGCTGAGTAGGGATGTGGGCAAAGAAACGTTGTGCAGGATATGAATAGCATTGCATGCAGCAAAACGGCGATATAAATGTGGTGGCAGCATGTCTGTTCGCGTGCCTCAAGTCCGGCGATCGGTGTATGCCGAAAACACCTGCTTCGTTATGTACTGCTGAAAAGCTGTGGTCAGAGTTGAGCGTTGAGGTTACAGCCCGTTGAGGTTTTGCCATCTTTCGATGCGGGAGAGACGAGAAGGTCACCGTCGTCCTTCCTTTTAAAGCATGCATGCGTGGTTTTGTAGCGCGTGTTGCTCACTGCGTGGATGGCACGCACACACATGTTCGGGTCTGTGCTTAGATGTGTTAATGCATGAACGTGTTGGCGGTATTAGCGCTAGTCGCCGCGAAATCAAGCACGTTGTTCCTGGGCCGACCGTGGCAAGTGCTGTAGAGGCTACGCTTGCGAGTATTTCTCCCAAAAAACCATGTGAGGCAAAACAACTAGTTCAATCTCTTTCAGATTAGCCGATGGGGGGAAGGGGAGCGTACTCATCTTTTGAATGCCTTAGCGGTTTGACCATTGTTCCCACAGGAGGACCAACCTCCCATGGCCAATCGCTTCTTCCTTCTTTGCCATAGGCGATTCAAAAGCGTTGTCTCTGCCTCATTTCATTGCAGGGCGACGCGCGTTGCCTCTCAAACCCTTGGCAGCGGCATGGAACATATGTAGTGCCTCAAAAGTTATAATTACCGTGGATATTTTTTTGGTGTTCCATAAAGTCGTATGGTCCCCAGCGATGGGGACTGGAAAGGGCGAGCAACTGTTACGGTGGAACACAATAATCAAGACCAAATTGGGCACTTCGCGTTCTATCTCAAAAAATTATTTTTTTCTGTCAAAATGCTCTCTCCCGCGAAGTTGATAGAAAAACACACACTCGTTTGCAACTTTTGCACGCAATAATTGAGCAACACACACTGGGTGGGTTCAACAGAAAGCCTATTACATCAGCTGTCGAATGGCGCTGGTTTCATGCCCATCGAACAGTCACAGCACGAAGTGAACGGCGCCAAAAGCAGGCACTTCATGGCAGCAATTTTCAAGCGGGCATACTTGTTGCGGTTCGGGCAAAACAAGTTAGGTTCTAAAATAGAACCTGACGCAAACTGCTCAACATGGCGCGTACAACGCCAAAAAAAAATTGAATTTGAACCGGCCGTTGTAGAGCAACTCGNGACTTGTTGCGGTTCGGGAAAATCAAATTAGGTTCTAATATAGAACCTGACGCAAACTGCTCAACATGGCGCGCACAACGCCAAAAAAAAAATTGAATTTGAACCGGCCGTTGTAGAGCAACTCGCCGTCCACGCCAGGCACCTGGCCAATCCAGCACCCACCATAACCAAGCGTGGTAGACGGGTACCGACAGGCGGAACCAGTGGCCGTCCACCTAAAGCGATCAAGGGGGCCAACGCTGCGGCCGAGAGAAATGCAAAGGCTATGAACAAGCTCCTGGATGATACGGAGAAGAGAGAGGCGGCCACCGCCGCTGCCGAAGCAGCTCTCGCGGCCAAGGAAAAAGAGGTGAAGGCCATGAAGGCGTCAGTGGCCAGGGATCGGGAGAAGCTCGCGCGGGACATCGCGA